AAGCGCTAGGATTACAGGCATAAACTGCTGCATCTGGCCCAAAGCTCACTTTTAAAATGTGCTTGCTTCCCTACTAACAATGCTATCACAACCACAGTAACATTTTACCAAGATACATCTACCTGAACAATTTACTACCTTGTACATATACACACATCTGTAAGCCATTTAAGGTGTTGGGAATTCAAGGGCAAAAATACAAACATATTTAATTTTAAAATTTTTAAAATAAAAGTGCAAGGTTATTCTTTGGAACTTTAACCAAACTAAAATTTGTTTTTCTAGAATGCTCAGTTGGACACAGTAGCTCACGCCTGTAATCCCAGCACTTTAGGAGACCGAGGTGGGCGGATCACGAGGTCATGAGTTCTAGACCAGCCTGGCCAACATGGTGAAAGCCCATCTCTACTAAAAATACAAAAATTAGCTGGGTTTGGTGGTGCATGCCTGTAATCCCAGCTACTCAGAAGGCTGAGGCACAATAATCGCTTGAACCCAGGAGGCGAGGTTGCAGTGAGTCAAAGATCACGCCACTGCACTCCAGCCTGGCGAAAGAGCGAGATTCTGTCTAGAAAAAAAAAAAAGCTCAACATAGCAAAGTGAAGAAAAGAGTCTACTATCATTAAGTGTTGAAATCTGCAGCCTTAATCCCTGGGTTGAATCCAGCTAAACCACTAAAGCAGTTTAACTTTAGGCAAGTAAGTTATTTACACTCTGTAGTCCAATATTCTCACCTCTAAAACATGAATGATTAACAGTATCTACTCCTACTCAAGGTTTTGATGATAATTCAGTCAGTCAACACAAACTCAGAACTTTAACAGTGGTGGACATAGTCAAGAGTTTAGAATACTTCCATAAGAGAGAAATCAACGTCCTCCTACTTTTCCCTGCCAAATCAGAAAGCCATTATATGACCCAACAAGGTATCACAGACCTAATTAGTAATTTCCGGGAGCCTGATCAGTTCTCTTATTCCGACTGATTTTGCACATTAATACACCCAATAAAAACTCATTTGAAAAACCAGGTCAAGTTATTGTTAGGCCTGGGATGATTATTTTCTCCAAGAGATTGAGACAGTAGCCTACTCTAATATATTGGTCTCCTAACTTACTACCCTACTTGCCCTGTTAGTCCTCATCACTAACATTCCCTACACAACAGCCAGAAGATAAATCAGACCTCTTTTTCAAAATCCTTTAATAGATTCTACCTGTGACCAAGATAGGATCTTAAACAAGACCCTCTAAGGTTGTGCTATGAATGTTTGATCCTTGCCTACCTCTCCAACTCCATCCCTCATCTATGTATACTTGGTAATTATTTTCCAGTATTATTTCTTACTTGGAGGCCAAGTCTTGTTCCCCCTCATTACCTGTGCTTTCACATATGGTTTTCTTACAGAATGAGCTTCACCATTAGCTACTTCCATATAGCCAAGCTTCCCTGTAGGGAAGGTTCCTTCCCTGGCAGCATCCCCCAAATTCCATGTTCCCTTGCTATCTTCTCATCCACCTTGTTCTTTTCCTTCATCGATCCTGACTATGAAAAGTGCCGTTTACTTTGTTTCTTCCCTCAATGATCTGTAATATCCATGACGGCAGGGGACATGTTTCGTTCTTCCCTATATGCCCAAACCTAATAATGATTTTCAAAATAAGTACTCAAATATTTAATAAACATCTTATACGTGAATGTTCCTTGAACACCTCCAAGACGTTTAAAACATTCTTTTTCCCACCCTCAAACTATAATCTGCTCCCTTCGTTTACCTTCCCCAGTTATCTATCCCTATCCCAGAAGCTAGAAACCAGCAATCATGCCAAATCCATGTCCTTGTCCACCCTCTATCATATCCGTCCTGAGATGCTCCTAATTTTACCTACTAATCTCTAATCTCATTAGCATTACCTTTGTCCAAACCAGGTCGTTATTCTTCCTTGGATTTTAGTATCTCCCTTATTAATCTCTTACTTCCAATCTCATTTCCTCTACACTATTTCCATACTGTTATTACAAAGACAGTCCTAAAAATTAAAATCTTCCAGTAGTTTTTGAGACCAGCCTGGGAAACAAAATGAGACTGTCTCCACTAAAAAAATAACAATAAAAAATAGTCAGGTGCTATGGTGCACGTCTGTAGTCCCAGCTACACAGGACGCTGAAGCCAGAGGATGGCTTGAACCCAGGAGGTCAAGGCTGCAGTGAGCCTTGTTATTGTTTAATGTCGCTGCAATCCAGCCTGGGTGACAGAGCAAGACCCTGTCTCAAAAAATAAAAATAAAAGGAAAATCTGATGTCACTTTCCAGTTTAGAATCTTTCTAAAATGCCTCACCATTAGTTTCTGGTTAAGATATAAACTCCTTGGCATGTATGTCATTCAAACTTTTATTCTCTGGCCTTAAGATTCTTTTCAGTACACTACCTCTCTTAAAAGGATCCCGTTGACCAGGCATGGTGGCTCACGCCTAATTCCAACACTTTGGGAGGCCAAGGTGAGTGGATCACGAGGTCAGGAGTTCAAGACCAGCCTAGCCAAGATGATGAAAGCCCATCTCTACTAAAAATACAAAAATTAGCTGGGCATGGTGACAGGTGCCTGTAGTGGTGTGAGATCACACCACTGCGCTCCAGCCTGGGTGACAGAGTGAGACTCTGTCTTATTAAAAAAAAAAAAAAAAAAATCAAATCCCTTTATGTGATTAAGGTAGAAGAGATAAAAATAATGAAATAAAAAAAAAGATCCCCTCACCTCTTAGGGTTAGGTAACCATTTCTGCATGCCCTTTTTTTTTTTTTTGAGACGGAGTCTCGCTCTGTCGCCCAAACTGGAGTGCAGTGGCCGGATCTCAGCTCACTGCAAGCTCCACCTCCCAGGTTCACGCCATTCTCCTGCCTCAGCCTCCTGAGTAGCTGGGACTACAGGCGCCCGCCACCTCACCTGGCTAGTTTTTTGTATTTAGTAGAGACGGGGTTTCACCGGGCTAGCCAGGATGGTCTCGATCTCCTGACACTGTGATCCGCCCGTCTCGGCTTCCCAAAGTGCTGGGATTACAGGCTTGAGCCACCGCGCCCGGCCTCATGCTTTCTTTTTTTAAAGAGATGGGGTCTCACCGGGTCTCTACAAAAAATACAAAAATTTAAGGCCCGGCGCAGTGGCTCACGCCTGTAATACCAGCACTTTGGGGGGCCGAGGCAGGCAGATCAAGAGGTCAGGAGTTTGAGACCAGCCTGGCCAACATAGTGAAACCTCGTCTCTACCAAAAATACAGAAATTAGCCAGGCATGGTGGTCTGTGCCTGTAGTCCCAGCTACTTGGGAGGCTGAGGCAGGAGTATCGCTTGAACCTGGGAGGCGGAGGTTGCAGTGAGCCAAGATTGCACCACTGCACTCCAGCCTGGGCAATAGAGCGAGACTCTGTCTCAAAAAAAAAAAAAAAAAAAAAGAGAGAGATGGGGTCTCATTATGTTGCCCAGACTGGAGTGCAGTGGATAATCATATCACACACTAAAGCCTCTCAACTCCTGGGCCAAAGGACCCTCCTGCCTCAGCCTTCCAATTAGTTGTGACTGCAGGCTTACCAATGCCCCTACCTTATTTCGGCATGCTTCTATAGGATCGGTATTTACCTCTCATCATATATGGACATTATTTCATTCATGAGTCTCCCTAAGCTGCAAAGCCCGTAAACATAATAAACTATATTTTATATCCCAAAACAGAACATGTCCCATAAAAACAATAAATTTGTAGAATTAACAAGGAGTAAATCTAACTAAACCTATAGTGAACAGCTTCCATATACTGACAGCAACAAAGAAGTAGAAAAAATAGCTCTCATACAATAGAGGGCATCAATAAAACTTGCACCTATTTAAAAAATAAAAAGATTCCCATTATTTTTCTAGATAACCTCCAGGAATCTTTTCCTTAACTTTCTCCCATTCTGTTTTGAGTGTACCTTTGGTTTTCACTTAAACTAGATTTTCCTTTTCATCCAAGTATGATATAAGGGGGCAAGTTTGTGATTTACCCTACTACAACAGTACCGAATATGCCTTTCAAAAAATTATTCCAGGTTAGGTGCAGTGGCTCACGCCTGTAACGTCAACACTTTGGGGTGTCAAGGCAGGAGGATTGCTTGAGCCCAGGAGTTCAAGACCAGCCTAGACAACATAGTGAGACTGTCTCCATAAAAAATAGAAATATTTTAAAATAAAATCTAATTATCCCCCAGCTTGAAATCTATCAGAGCAATTCTAAAATGGTTATCTTACTCTTTGGCTATCCACATCTTTATTAATCTCTACACGATTCCTGTGAATAACACAGAATTCATTCCTTCTTACCATTAGGAATTCTATGAATTCACATTAGAATTCCCAAAATCTAGCTGGGCCTTGAGTCACCATTGTAAAAGGGGTCAGCCTGAGATGGTTCCTGATTTGGATGTATAGGTTAAACAGAGTTCCCTGCTTTGTGAGGTCAAAAAGCCTACCTTTTTTCAAATTTTTAAAAACCTTCCAGTGAGACAGCATTTTAATATTATGTTGTATCTCTTGTGGTTTGACTCTTGGGAAATTTTAATGAGATAAAAAGTCTAAATAGAATACAATCCAAAAATGTCATGAACCCAAGAAATACGTTAAATGACAGAAAATGTTTACTAATTTGTAATAATCTAAAAAAAAATGGATTCCCCAATACGTTGCCTTGTTACTAATCATTAATGCAAGCCACTTTCATTTTAAACTTCAGCTGCTCTTTCCAAGTACCCAAAATGTTCTAATCAGCCCAAGTTAATTAGAAACTCCTATTATTCCATTAGTTTACAAATAACTGAGGTGGTCCCCCTTGGGAAACACTTCAAGATGCACATACAAAACGCTTAATCCAAACACTTCCAGAGGCTATGACCTATACACATCAGCTAAACTGTTAAACGGGTTTATTTCCTAGTCTTTGTAATGAATCCAAGTGGACCTCACACCTCTTACCATCACCCAGGAAGGGTGTGCATCTGTTCCGAAGGCCCCCCTGGCTCCAGGTCATCCTGGCTGCTGCTGCTCCAGGCTGGGCATCCATGTTGCTGCAGCTTGTGGTTTGTGAGGGGTAGTGTACAGGAAAAGCAGGATGGGATTTCAAGGGAAACAGGAGGAAGATGGCTTTCAGGGAAAATGCCATCACGATCATAAGTGTTAAGTAGTACCACACACATTTTATTGCAGCACAGTTTAAAAATTTAACAAATGAAAGATTAAAAATAAAAAAACAAAAATAAAAAAAATTAAAAATACAGACGTCCAGAGATGCTCTAAAACAGTTAAGTTAAAGATCAGGAAAAATAAGGTCATAGACTTAACAGCCAGTAAAATTCTGTTCAGTGTGGGGAAGGGGATAAGGGCAAGGGTGGGGTTGGGAGAGAAAAGGTTTATGTGATCAATCCACTTAAAAATACTAATGCCTTCGCTTTCTCTCCCAAGATGCAAAACTCCAAAGTCAATCAGGAGGCCGGAGAAATTCTTAGAAACATTCAGAAAAACTCGATTTTAATCCGGTTAAAAATCATCAGTGTCATTATCATCATCATCATCACCATCATAAGTATTAATATAATAATAATAATAATAAGTAATAGTAACTAGTAACAACAATAAAAAGGAAATCAGCGGAAAGTCAGGAAAAATGTTAAAAAAAAATTGGAATAACTTACTGTAGCTGAAGATCAAAAAAATCTCACTGTAAAAAAACAAAAATAAAAATAGCCCAGATTAGAAAAACGGGAGGTGCAAAAATGTCAAGTCAGTAAAGTTCATTTCTTTTCTCTTTCCAAAAGCAGTTTCCACAAAAACCGCAAGGATAAAGTTTTCAGTAGCAGACAAGCAAAGCCCTTTCGACATCATCAATCAATCTTAAAAATACACGAGGAAGTAGAGAGGTCAGTTTATGAGAGGCTAAAAGGCTCCTCCTCCTCTAACCCAACTGCTGCAGAAAAAATAGAAATAGAAATTTTAAAAATTACATCTTAAATCCAGGTCCCGGTTTTGGAAACAATTAAAAAAAAAACACCTGTACATTTGCCGTAGTGCACACCAAGTTGCATCATTATGTTTAAAATGTCTTTATAAAATCAGTTTTGGAATGGAATGTGTGTGTTCTGGAAGGGTGGGGAAGGGAGGTTAAAAATCAAAGCTGAGCTCCAGTGAGTAGGGATGGGGTTCGCCTTGCTGCCCTGTGAAAGGAGAAGGGACAGATTGAGTCAGAGTTCCTCAGAAATGTTGTGCCCTAAACCCCCAAGACAGAAACATCTGTCTATTGCAGCTAACACATTTTGGTAAAGCATTAACATTCCACTGGGATGGGACAGCCTCCATAGAATCACCTCTACCAGTGACTGTCTTCACAATTCTTCAACATCAATAGGTGACTAAAATTAACTAAATCCATGTCAATATGCCCTTGAGGGTCTCAAAAAGAGTATATCCAAATATTCATCTTGATAATGAGTAGTTTGGGCAAAGAAAATACAGAAAAACCGGGCCAACAAATAGAGGTGAAATAGTGAGCAAATGTCAAATATTGAGACTGTAAAAATTAAGCAGATTCATGGGTTTTAAACTTAAAGCCCATGGAGTTTCCACTATGAGTAACAGACTGAAGGTGAATGGCCTACCATGAAGATCTATACTAGTGATGACTCTAGATCTATTTTCAAAACCAGTGAGTGATCAAACCACAAGACCTAATAGGTTCTACTGTTAGGGGGAAAGATGTTTTAAATAAGGAGCACATTATTTCACTCACTGACAAAACGAAAATACAAATGGAATAAAAAAAGACTACTATGGCTACTGAATATTTAAGGTCATAAAATAGGTGAAAAAATTAAGGTCCTTATGTTAATACTTCTTTTGTTTCTGTAATCCACTGTTTACTATGTAGCATGTATAGCTAATTTCAAGTTATGGATTCTAAAAATCTGGTACACAATACCACACTAAAATAATTTCCATGACAAACTGCTTGTTTCATCAGCTAAAATAAGAACTACAATTGGACTGTAGCTCCTTGTGCAAACAATGAACTAGCTGCACTCACTTTTCAATTTAGCCATAAGGTCTTATTCTCCTTTGTAAATTTCAGGAAATTAAAATATTTTAAGGCCAGGTGTGGTGGCTCACACCTGTAACCCCAACACTTTGGGAGACTGGGGTAGAGCATGGCTTGAGACCAGCCTAGGAAACAAGGCAAGACTTTATTAAAAACAAAAAACATTAACAGGGTGTGGTAGCCTGTAATCCCAGCTACTTAGGTGTCTGAGGAGCGAGGATCACTTGAGCCCAGGAGTTTGAGGCTGCAGTGAGCTCTGATGACTTTATTGCATTTCAGCCAGGCCAACAGAGAGAGACCCTGTCTCAAAAATTTTTTTTAATTGAGCATTTACAAGTGTTCCTTGAGCCGGCCAGGTACAGTGGCTCAAGCCTGTAATCCCAGCACTTTGGGAGGCCGAGATGGGCAGATCATGAGGTCAGGAGATCAAGACCATCCTGGCTAACACGGTGAAACCCCATCTCTACTAAAAAATACAAAAAACTAGCCGGGCGAGGTGGCGGGCACCTATAGTCCCAGCTACTCGGGAGGCTGAGGCAGGAGAATGGCATAAACCCGGGAGGCGGAGCTTGCAGTAAGCTGAGATCTGGCCACTGCACTCCAGCCTGGGGGACTCCGTCTCAAAAAAAAAAAAGAAGTGTTCCTTGAGCCAACTATGCATGAATGACTACAGCAGCAACAGGTACTGTAACTAAAACCATAAATGTTTAAAAAGTAGAACAGTGCAGGAAGGACAGTTAATTTTTACATTTGATGTGTGAAACTGTACGAATGTACAAACTGCGGAAAAAGTCTGAAGAATTGTAGGAAATATACATCTGAATGTTCTTTTCCTGTTTATGAAATACAGTTATGGTGAAACATTTCATTTTCTTATTTGGAGCCACAGCCCAACCTGGTAATCAATTTTCAAGATATGTAACTTTATAGTTCAACCACAACCAAATCCTTTGTACAGGTGCCACAAGACATAAGCTTAAAAGGAAAGAAAAATGTGAAAAGAAACTAATTCTATCTTTCAACATCAAGAAGTTCAGGTACCTCCCAAGATTTTATGTTAAACTGAAGAGCTACCACTCATAAAAAGACCAACTTTAGGCCGGGCACGGTGGCTCACGCCTATAATCCCAGCACTTTGGGAGGCTGAGGCAGGTGGATCATGAGGTCAGGAGATCGAGACCATCCTGGCTAACACGGTGAAACCCCGTCTCTACTAAAAATACAAAAAAATTAGCCGGCCGTGGTGGCAGGCGCCTGTAGTTCCAGCTACTCGGGAGGCTGAGGCAGGAGAATGGCGTGAACCCGGGAGGCGGAGCTTGCAGTGAGCCAAGATTGCGCCACTGCACTCCAGCCTGGGGGACAGAGCGAGACTACGTCTCCAAAAAAAAAAAAAAGACCAACTTTAGCACCATTTTCAATCAAGAATATTCCTTTAGGCTAGGCGGGGTAGCTCACTCCTGTAATCCCAGCACTTTGGGAGGCTTGGGGCAGGCGGATCACCTGAGTTCAGGAGTTGAAGATCAGCCTGGAAACATGACTCTGTCTCTACCAAAAATACAAAAAATTAGCAGGGCTACTGAGGCTGAGGGCACCCTTAAGCCTGGGAGGCAGAGGTTGCAGTGAGCTGGGATGACGCTACTGCATTCTAATCTGGGTGACAGTGTGAGGCTCTCAAAAAAAAAAAGAAGAGTATCCTTACATAAAGCTCAAAGGTAGTTTTTAAAAAAAGTATCTCTAGGTTATTATTTGTCAAAACCTGCCTGAAGTTTGGATCCCTTCTTCTAAAGGGGTCCCTCTCAGAACGAGTGATGCATAAGCATCATCACCTGGAACTTACTAGAAGTTCAAACTCTCAGGCCCCACCCCAGACTTAATTAGAAACCTGGTGGTATAGATCATAGCAATCTGTTTTAACTAGCCCTATTGATTCTGGTGTTGGCTAACGTTTGAGAACCACTGTGAAGATTTTAAATCGGGAATCTCTCTCTTTCCCAGTTTATAATCAATTATTATTACTTATTATTATTTGAGACGGGGTCTCGCTCTGTCACCCAGGCTGGAGTGCAGTGGTGCGATGGCTCACTGCAACCTCTGCCTCCCAGGTTCAATCTATTCTCCTGCCTCAGCCTCCCGAGTAGCCGGGACTACAGGCGAGTAGCCCGGACTACAGGCGAGTAGCCCGGACTACAGGCGAGTAGCCGGGACTACAGGCGAGTAGCCGGGACTACAGGCGAGCGCCACCACACCCAGTTTGTTCGTATTTTTAGTAGAGATGGGGGTTTCACCATATTGGCAGGTTGGTCTGGAACTCGTGACCTCGTGATCCACCCGCCTCAGCCTCTCAAAGTGCTGGGATTACAGGCGTGAGCAGCCGCGCCTGGCCTCTAGAATCAATTCTTTAAACAAAGTGCCTGTCCTTCCAGTGTACTGGGACAGAATCAAGTTAGAGCACCAAATAATGTTTTCCTGATACAATATAAATCCAAAAACACATAACCTATCACAGTAAATGTACCAAAAAAACCTCTTTCCTTTGGTTAAGAAACCAAATTTTCTTGTAAGATTTTCTTATTAACTAAAGAAAAATAAATTTTCTTTGGTTAAGAAACCAAAATTTCTTATGTTAATAAATCCAAATTTTTCAATATCGAGAAAACCTGTAGTTATGCCACACCTCAACTTTCTAGTTCTCACCAATCCTCTAGTAAATGTAGTATACACAAAACCAAAAGCTTCCCATTTCCAATGAGAATACAAGAATATGCATATTAAGAGCAAATAATGCTCCCCAGAGACAACTACTAATTATTTGAAGACTGAAATAATGTGGTTAAGAATAGTAGTAACTACTACTAATTTAGAAAACTGGGGCCGGGTGCCGTGGCTCACACCTGCAATACCAGCATTTTGGGAGGCGGAGGCACGAGGATTGCCTGATCTCAGAAGTGAGACCAGCCTGACCAACACGGTGAAACCCCGTCTCTACTAAAAATATAAAAATCAGCCCGGCGTGGTGGCGCACGCCTGTAATCCCAGCTACTTGGGAAGCTGAGGCAGGAGAATCGCTCAAACCCGGGAGGCAGAGGCTGCAGTGAACCGAGATTGTGCCACTGCACTCCAGCCTGGGGCAACAGTGAGACTCCGTCTCAAAAAAAAAAAAAAAAAAAAACTGCTTTAAAAAGACTGCATCTGTACAGTTTTTAGTCTTCTGGCAACGAAAAAATTGAATTAGAAACCAAAAATTCAAATAAGTTAAAAAAAAAAAGTCTAAGTCCTCTTATTTAAGCAAGGAGGATTAAAATCTATTTCTCCTCCTAGGCAAACTTACTCCCTATTCAACACCTCACATTCAACACTTAATATTAAGTTTTAATAATTTGCCCCTTAGTCTTTAAAATTAGAGCAACTAGCTATTTGAGTTTATTCTTTGTGTCGCACTGCCATTCCATCCAAAACAAGGTCGAATGCCATGTCAAATCCTCTAAGAGATTTAATTACAAACGTAAGCTGTTTAAATTCTCCACAGAAGGAACATCAACTACCAAGTATTCCCAAGAGTGGCACACGAATGGGGGGAAAAAAAGGTCAGAAAACCTGCAACCTGGCCATCCTTCAACTTTTCCCCCTAGCCAATACGCTAGCCAATACGAAAATGTTACTAAATGCCTATCCAGTTGAGAACACACCTGGAATTGTGATATAAATGCCGTGGCAAACAGTTCTTGATATTAAAGAATTTTTGGTACGCTGATATACATACTGATCTGATATACATACTGATCGGAAGGAACCCGTATTTCTAACACCTCAAAGGCAAAGAAAAGTGCCTGTCAATCAATTTCAGCTATTATCAACTGTTCTTAAATACTAACTTCTGACATTTCTCATTGCCAACATTTTTACTACATGATTTCCCCATTAATCTATTTTTGCCTTTACCTCATTTCTAACAGTTTAGCACGATGATAAACTTTAGTTTTAAGTTCCTGTAATAATATATTTAAACTTAAAGGGGTCGCGATGTTTTTGACCCTTATTTTACTTCCTATCAAATAGGTTGCCTTACAGATAAATTTCTTACCCGGCAGAATTGGTTTAAACTGTGCTTAACAGCTTTAGTTTTTGTGAAATTAACAGATTGTAAAAAATAACCAAATCTCATGTGAGGATTTAAAAAACCGATTTCCCAGATAAGTGAACGTGACACTAAAGATCTGTAACTTTAACTTACAAGTTTTTTATCAAATTTCAGCACCGAGCAAATAACAGCACTGTTAATATTTGCTTAATAAAATGTAGCTGTGAATTTTTGCCCAAGTTTAGGTGGACGGGAAAATTAACATCAGAATAACCCGAAAGTCAAATTTTGTCATCTTACACTTAGGAAGTTACGTTAACAACAAATTCTCAAGTCTCGTAGTATTTTTCTTAAGCGCAATTTGGGAATTTCCAGTTACCTCGTGGTTTCCGTCATCAGGTTCTTGCAAAGATTCAAATATTGTACTTTTAGAACCCGGTATTCCATTAACCAGGTAAAAACCACTCGACTGACCTCGTGGTCAAATTCCTTAGTAGTTCTGCTACTGACTTAATTATGACCCTAGCAATCAACACTTTGCCTCAGTTTCTGTCTGAGAAAGAGAGTTAATACCTACCTCAAGCAAAGTTCCACTAACTTATATATTTCAAGTGTTTTGTAACCTGCAGATGAAAAGTCAGCTGTAATTATTAATATAGTTATACACAATATTTCCTTTTACAAACGTAAGTGAAAATAACTACTTCGAGCTCCATTATTTGCTCATAGAGAGGAATAAAATAAAAAGTTATCAGTAAAATGCTAAATCTTTTGTTAAACCTTTCTCATAGGCCACGCGGCACGATCCAGGATTTAAAGGCTCGCGATACATCTACTTGGTAACCTTCCCCCTCCCCCTCCCCCAATTTTTACATGTAAGAAGAACCGAGGTAATAGAAGGCATCGGCGCTATGTTAACTTCGACTATATTAATGAACATCGCGATCTTCATTTTCAGGATCCCGGAGTCCTCGCGGTCGTAGAAAATGAAAGGAAAGCAGCCGTTAACACAGGAAGAGCGAAAAAAGGGCATTTTCCCTGGCGATCGTGGCCCAGAGGACACCAGGTTAAACCTACGCAGAGGCTGAGGCCTGTAAAACCGCCTCCCGCTTCAGACCTAATCCCCCAAAACAAACAGAATAAATGAGGGCCCGGTTAGTTAGGGGGAAGGGTTCCCTCATATTCTCTCCCACACCCCCTCTAGCTTCCCAAAAAACCCAGCGCCTTCCCTGCGTCCGCCCTCTCCACTTACCAGGAGGGGGGAGGGAGAAGAGATTCGATTCTGAGTCTCCTACTCCCGGATTCGGCGTGAAGAAACCGACTGCAGGTCGAGGTCGGCAGCGCGGCCACAACCGCTCAGTCTTCGTCTCTTCACAAAATGGCCCCCGAGTCTCCTCTGCCGCCGAGGCGAAGGCCTAGTCCCCGCCCCATCCCTAAGAATCTTCCTATTGGCTGTGTGTTTTTTCGCTCCCGCTCCTAATTAGACAGTTCAACCGCTTCTCACAATGATATCCAGTCACAATTGGCAGTGGGTTAGACTAAGCAGAAGAATTTCCACATGCGTGAGAGAAACTAGTTTGTAACTGGTTAATTTTCCTGTCATTTATCGTCTGGGGAATGTTTATTGGCTATTGCACCGGACGACCCTCTGGGTGGAAACTCGCCTTTGTATCGCGCACCGTCTCACATCCGGGTATCTGGAAGGCCTGATTGGCGGCCGCGGTGTCCTATCGCTGCTCCTTAGAGTGCCTAGTAAAAGGTTCGCTCAGACCTCGGATTTCCGGCGGCGCGGGGGCGGGGAAGGGCTTGAGGGGCGTTGTTAGGTGACGGGCGCAAAGGACTTGCCCTAGCCCCGGGCCTAGGAGAAAAAAAGCGCGAAATGAAGCCTCCGGCGTGCAATATGAATAAAGAAAGAACTTTACTTAAAATGAGGAGGGAGCAGCGGTGACTAGGCCGTGTTAAAGTGTGTAGAAAACTAACCAGCCCTGCCGTTTTTCCAACCCCAGAGCCTTTCTCAGGTCCAGATTCGAATGTCAGCTACCTCGTAGACATCTCTGCTTCTCAGCCTATTAAACCCTTCTTCAGACAACACATATTCCATCCAAACCAACTGACTTCCTTATTCCTCTCCAATATGAAAAGTAAATGAAGTGCAAAATCCCGGCCTCTGGCCCAAGTCATCTCACTAATATCTTAAGTGCCAGTAAAATTGGCCCATCCCTCCGAATCTGCTCCCTTAATTTCCCTCCTCTTAAAATGGCTTGTCTCCTACGTACCCCCGTCACCTGCCAGTCCTTCTGGTTACATTATAGGAACTGCGCACACAGTGGATTAGCATCAGCTCTACTAAGGGAGCCATTTCTTTTTTTTTTTTTTTTTCTTGAGGCAGAGTCACTGTCGCCCAGGCTGGAGTGCAACTGCCTCCAGTTGAGGTTGATTGGCGGCCGCGGTGTCCTATCGCTGCTCCTTTTTTTTTTTTTTTTTTTTTTTTTTTTGAGACGGAGTCTCGCTCTGTCACCCAGGCTGGAGTGCTGTGGCCGGATCTCAGCTCACTGCAAGCTCCGCCTCCCGGGTTCCCGCCATTCTCCTGCCTCAGCCTCCCGAGTAGCCGGGACTACAGGCGCCCGCCACCTCGCCCGGCTAGTTTTTTTTTTTGTATTTTTTAGTAGAGACGGGGTTTCACCGTGTTAGCCAGGATGGTCTCGATCTCCTGACCTCGTGATCCGCCCGTCTCGGCCTCCCAAAGTGCTGGGATTACAGGCTTGAGCCACCGCGCCCGGCATATCGCTGCTCCTTAAGGCGCCTAGTAAAAGGTTCGCCCAGACTTCGGATTTCCGGCAGCCTAAGGAAATCCTGAGTGACGACCTCCAGCGAGGTTGGCTCACTGCAACCTCCGCCTCCTAGGTTCAAACGATTTTCCTGCCTCGGTCTCTCTAGTAGCTGGGATTACAGGCGCACGCCACCATGTCCAGCCAATTTTTGTATTTTAGTATAGATGGGGTTTTGCCATGTTGGCCAGGCTGTTCAGGTGATCCACTCGCCTTGGCCTCCCAAAGTGCTGGGATTACAGGCGTGAGCCACCGCGCCATACCGCTTTAAACTATTTTAAAAAGCAAAGACAAAAAATACGGGAGAAAGTATACACTAAAGTGTTAGTAGTGGTTCTCTCCTGGTAGGAAAATTACATGTGATTTTTTTTAACTTTTTTTTTCCGAGACGGGGTCTCGCTCTGTCACCAGGCAGTGGTGCGATCTTGGCTCACTGCAACCTCCGCCTCCTGGGTTCAAGCTGTTCTCCTGCCTCAGCCTCCCTAGTAGCTTGGACTACAGGTGCGTGCCACCACACCCAGCTATTTTTGTATTTTTAGTAGAGATGGGGTTTCACCATGTTGGCCAGGAAGGCCTCCATCTCTTGACCTAATCCGCCCGCCTCAGCCTTCTTGCTGGGATTACAGGCGTGACCCACCATACCCGGCCTTAAAACCTTATTGTACTTTACTATATTTTCTAAATCATCTACTTTGAGCAAGTAATCAGAGGGAGAATATCCTACGAGTGCTTAAAGCCTCGACTCAATTGCCACATTGCAATTTATTTAAAATTACCTCGTAGCACCATGGGTAGTTTTACACTCCTCTTCTCTCCCTTCCTGGATGGTAAGATTTTTTGATGGCAGAGTTTAATTATTACCCTTCAATATATTTTCCTTGTTACTACCTCTTAATAAATTAATGAAATATTAATTAACCATTAACTTGTATTTATCAGGGGAAATTGCTATTTTTCCAGGACAAGCAGATAGACTGTCCTTTTTTCTCTCTCTTTTGAGATGAGGTCTTGTTCTGTTTCCCAGCCTGGAGTGCATTGGCATGATCCCAGATCATTACAGCTTCAACCTCCCAGTCTCAAGCAATCCTCCCACCTCTGCCTCTGTAGTAGCTGAGACCACAGGTGTGCACCACCACGCTGGCTAGTTTTTTTTATATTTTGTAGAGACAGCGTTTTGCCATGTTGCCCAGGCTAGTTTTGAACTCCTAGGCTCAAGCAGTCCTCCCTCCTTGGCCTCCCAAAATGCTGGGATTACAAGCGAGAGGCACCATGCCAGCCCTGTTTTTTCTTTGTTGTATATTTTATGTAATACTTACTCAGAGAGGCCTGGAGTCTGTCGGGTCTGGTTGACACATAATTTATATTATTATTATTACTATTATTACTATTATTTGAGACAGGATATCACTCTGTTGCCCAGGCTGGAGTGCAGTAGCACCATCAGGGCTCACTGCAACCTCGATCTCCTGGGCTCAAGAGATCCTCCCACCTCAGCCTCCTGAGTAGCTGGGACTACAGGCATGTGCCACTAGACAAAGTTTTCTTTCTTTCTTTTTTTTTCAGTCTCTGTAAAGACTGTCAAAAATTGCCAATGCCAACTATATTGCAGGTCATCACGGCAGGGTATTGGGAAAAATTTTCAATTAGCAATAATCACGCCTCAGATAGACCTCATTGGCTAAGATACTGCCACTGCGCAAAGCTAGTTTTCTAATTTTTGTAGAGATGGGGTTTCACCATGTTGCCCAGGCTGGTCTCAAACTCCTGTGCTCAAGCAATCCACCGGCTTGGGCCTCCCAAAGTGCTGTGATTACAGGCTCACCCATGTCTGGCCTCTTGACTTAAGTTTAAACAAAACTCTGTCTCAAAAAATAAAAATAAAATAAAATAAAATTTTATAGAGCTCTCTCATTTTAGCTAACACTGCTTTATACTCTTTTTTTTTTTTTTTTTGAAATGGAGTTTCACTCTCGTTGCCCAGGATGGAGTGCAATGGGACGATCTCGGCTCACTGCAGCCTTTGCCTCCCAGGTTCAAACGATTCTCATGCCTCAGCCTCCTGAGTAACTGGGACTATAGGCACCCGCAACCACGCCTGGCTAATTTTTGTATTTTTAGTAGAGATGTGGTTTTGCCATGTTGGCCAGGCTTGTCTTGAACTCCTGGGGTCAAGCAATCCGCCATAGCTCCCAAAGTGCTGGAATTACAGGCCTGAACCACTGCACCCGGCCAATATCTTTTTTTTTTTTTTTTTGAGACAGAGTCTCACTTTGTCGTCCAGGCTAGAGTGCAGTGACGCGATCTCGGCTCACTGCAGCCTCCACCTCCCGGGTCCACGCCATTCTCCTGCCTCAGCCTCCTGAGTAGCTGGGACTACAGGCGCCTGCCACCACGCCCGGCTAATTTTTTGTATTTTTTTTTTTTAGTAGAGACGGGGTTTCACTGTGTTCGCCAGGATGGTCTCGATCTCCTGACCTTGTGATCCGCCTGCCTCGGCCTCCCAAAGTGCTAGGATTACAGGAGTAAGCCACCGCACCCAGCCTTTTTTTTTTTGAGACCAAGTCTTGCTCTGTCACCCAGGCTGGAGTGCAGTGACACAATCTTGGCTCACTGCAAGCTCCACCTCCCACGTTCAAGGGATTCTCCTGCCTCAGCCTCCCGAGTAGCTGGGATTACAGTCGCCCACCACCACGCCTGGCTAATTTTTACATTTTTAGTAGAGATGGGGTTTCACGATGTTGGCTAGGCTGGTCTTGAACTCCTGACCTTAGATGATCCACCCACCTCGGCCTTCCAAAGTGCTGGGATTACAGGCTTGAGCCACCAAGCCCGGCCCCAATATCATTTTTAAAAACTAATCCCCTGTTTGAGACATTGAAGTTGTTTCCAGTTTTTCAGTATCATTTATCAATTATTTTATTTATTTATTTATTTATTTATTTTATTAATTTATTTTTTGGAGGTTGGGGTGGGGATGGAGTTTCACTCTTTCCCCCAGGCTGGAGTGAAGTGGCACGATCGCAGCTCATCGCAATCTCTGGAGCGGTGGCTTACGCCTATAGTCCCAGTACTCTGGGAGGCGAGGCGGGTGGATCACCTGAGGTCAGGAGTTCGAGACCAGCCTGGCCAACATGGTGAAACCCCGTCTCTACTAAAAATACAAAAAATTAGCTGGGCATGGTGGCAGGCGCCTGTAACCCCAGCTACTCGGGAGGCTGAGGCAGGAGAATCACTTGAACCCAGTGGGGTGGAAGTTGCAGTGAGCCGAGATTGCACCATTGCACTCCAGCCTGGGCAACAGATTGAGACTCCATCTCCAAAAAATAAATAAATAATATAAACAAACAGGCAAAAAAAAAAAAATTGATCACTGTCCAAATGCAGTGGGTCACACCTGTAATCCCAGCACTTTGGGAGGCCAAGGTGGGCGGATCACCTGAGGTCGGGAGTTCGCAAGCAGCCTGGCCAACATGGTAAAACCCCATCTCTTCTTAAAATACAAAACTTAGCCAGACGTGGTGGCGAATGCTTGTAATCCCAGCTGTTTGGAAGGCTGAGGCAGGAGATTCACTTGAACCCGGGA